TGGAAAAGAGAGCCTAGCAGGTTGTTAGACATGTGGAAAACACATGAGCACCAAGTGGGCCTTTCCTTGACTATAGAGAGGAATAAAGGAGAATGGAAAAGAAAGTGATTTTCTGTCTTGTGAGTCAGGGGTGTTAAAGCTGCCTGGTGACCTGGCTTCACCATGGCACATGCCGGTGGCCCGGGAAGTGCTGTGCCAGCCTGGACATGCACGAGCCCTCACACCCCTGCCTCAGGTGCTGGATACGGGACTCCGTCGTCAGCCATGTCACCAACCTGGGACTCTTCAGCCTGGTGTTCCTGTTCAACACAGCCATGCTGGGCACCATGGTGGTGCAGATCCTGCGGCTGCGGCCCCGCACCCAGAAGTGGCCTCATGTGCTGACGCTGCTGGGCCTCAGCCTAGTCCTTGGCCTGCCCTGGGCCTTGGTCTTCTTCTCCTTTGCTTCGGGCACCTTCCAGCTTGTAGTCCTCTACTTCTTCAGCATTATTACCTCCTTCCAAGGTAGGTGTGGAGAAGACCCTACCCATTGGCCCAGCCAGGGTGCCCATAGATGGAGCACAGGGAAGGGAAGAGCTGACCCAGGCAACCTGGCACTTCTCTTCTCTGGGCCTCAGTCTTCCCATTCATAACTGGGAGCATCCAGGCCACAGCTGACAAGTCTTTATTGAGCACCTACTATAGGCAGGCCCTATGCTAAGCCAATCAGTTATGAACTGGTTGAGTGAGGGCCTTGCTTACATGGATATCACGGGGAGCTTGTTAGAAGCACGGACTCTGGCCCCTCCAGACTTGCTGAATCAGATCCACACTGCACAGATGCTGGGGGTGCGTGTGCGTGTCCCAGGCTAAGGAGCCTGGTCTGCAGGAAGAGCACTCCAGGCAGAGGGAGAAGCAAGAGCCAAGGTCCTGAGGTGGAAACTAGCTGTGTGTTGGGAGAACAGTGAGGAGGAGCGAGCTTAATGGGCAGTGAGTTGGGGGAGGTCAGGGGATGAGGGGCGAGGAGCAGAGAGGTGGGATCATAAGGGCCTGGGTTGATCTGCCCTACCTGCACCCCTCCAGCCCATGCCCCCCACATCATACAGAGTCACATGCACCCCTGCTCTGTTCTGGCCATGCCAGGTAGGGAGGAGGACTTGGGCAGGAAAGCAGGGAAGCTGAGGCCAGCCTCCCACACGGGAATGGAGGGGAGGAAAGTGTCTTTGTTTTCTCACATGTGAAGTGAAGGGGACCCTGTAAGGATTATAAATCATGCCCCAAAATTCACACAAACATTTAATAAATCAGAGTAATGTCATTTGAGGTGGCGCTATATTGCATGGTGCCTTAACAGGTGTGTTCCAGAGCCTGAATACCAGTGTTTGACTCCTGGGCTGGCCAGGTCTCTTTACCTCCCTGGGCCTCAGTTTTCTCATCTGTAAAACAGAATGATAATGAACAGTCTGGGCCTCAGAGGAACCTCTAGAGAATAAAGTGAGATGGTTGCACAGTGAATTGCACAGTGCCTGGTGCATAGCAGGGGTTTCTGGGGTCACACTGGTGCTGGGAGCCTGTGCAGAGAGGAGGGAAAGGGGCAGATTTGAGTCAAGGGGCTCTGGGAGGGGAAGAGGTAGCAAAGGGCTGCCTGCAGCCTGTTGAGCTCTGTGTCCCCTCCTGGCCCACAGGCTTCCTCATCTTCCTCTGGTACTGGTCCATGCGGCTGCAGGCCCGGGGCGGGCCCTCACCTCTGAAGAGCAACTCGGACAGTGCCAGACTCCCCATCACCTCGGGCAGTACCTCCTCCAGCCGCATCTAGGCCGCCAGCCACCCACCCGTGTGAGGAAGCCGAGATGCGGTCTCTCCTCACTGCTGCCTGTGGCCCCTAAAGCTGGGCCAGGCCCTTGGCGGGTCAGCTGGAGACTGGAGAAGGCTCAGAGACCTCCAAGGGACGGGGCTGTTGCCATGGCAGTGAGACTCCTAGGCTGGGCCTTTGGAATTGGCCTGTGGACAACTTGGCTCTCGGATCCAGCTGGTAGGGGGCTCAGGTGTGGGACTGCCCCCCTGGCCATCCTAACCTGGGACTGAAGGTTGGTCTTAATTCACCCCACTGGGCCCAGCCCTCGTGGCTGGGGGTCAGAAGCCCACAGGCCTCAGGGTCAGGTCCCAGACCTTGGAGGCCTGGCAGCATCCTTAGCTCTGTGTCCTCACCCAGGACAAAAATGTGCCATAGCTGCTCTGTCTCTGGTGATCACCATGAAGGCACTCTGCAGTCCCAAAGGGTGGCCTGTTGCCCTCAGGGCAAATAGGGCTGGGGCAGAGCTTTGAGCCAGACTCCTGGAGGAGGAGAGCCCTCCACCCCTCTAACCCCCGGAGCATAGCGGCGGCTCCTCTCCCTCTGAGCCCACAGCTGTCACCTTCCACTGGCCTCCCCAGCCCTCCTTCTCCCCTCTGTGGCCCTCCCTTCCTCTCCTGGGGCTTCCCCAGCCCTCCACTCATAGCCCAGGGTCCCCAATTCCAGCACTGTATTTTGGGTGGTGGTTTCTAAGAGCTGCCTGGTGCCTACTATACACCTTTATCTACTGCGCAGGCCTTTGCCTGCCCCCGACTCAGACTTAGTATAGATGTTCTGGGCTAAACTAGGTCCATCTGTCCATCTGGGCCTCTGTATAAGCTGCATTACTATTTTTCACCACTGTCAAGCCCACCCCTCACAGGGTCTCTCAGCCTCTCCCAAAGCCCTATTGTGGCAAGAACTGTGGAGCATAGCAGCTCAAATTTGTTTCCACCCCAGCATTCTGCTCTGAAGACTGAGACATGCCTCCCGTGGTGACACTGGCCTAGAGCCCAATGTGCTCCTAGGTGGTTGTTGTCCCTGAATCCCTGCAGACTGTCTCGGGCATGCTTGAGCCCATCACAGTTAATTCTGCTGGACACAGATGGCCAGACCTGATCATTTCCCCTTTCAAGCTCACCGTCTAACGTGCAAGGCATGTATGAGATAAGAGCTCCTGGAGCTACAGGCATGGAGTTGGGGGAGCCATCATTCCAGGCTGGGAATCCAGGAAAACTTCCTGTAGGAGGCAACATTTGACATGGATCTCAGCTTTAAAGATGGGGAGGACTTTCTTTTTAATTACCACTTCATTTGTTTTTTGGATTTAAAAAGTACATGTTCATTGTAGAGAGCTTGGAAACATCGTAGACAAACTTGGAAAGAAGAGTATACAGAAGAAAATAAAAATCAGCTGTTGTTATCATCTAACCAGTGTAAACATTTTGGAGCACTGCCTTCTGAGCTTTCTTCTGTCCTACTGAGAGTCACTGATACAGTCACCTCGAGGCCAGTTGGAACCATGAAGGAGGGAAGAGGGCTATGTGTGTTAGAAATCAACTGCTGGGAACTAACCACCAGGGCAAGGGTGGGGCGTATAAATGGCAACTTGGTGTCAGTGTGGGGAAGCAATGGGGAATGGTGGGGTCTGTGGTAAACTGAAGATTACAAGCCTTATGCCAAGGAGCACCTGCTACTCAGCTCCAGCTGGTCACCGCCTTGCAGGGATGAGGGCCCACATAGCCAGAGCATCTGCCTTTTATGAAAAATGAGAATCTGGGTTGTGGTGGTACAAAATCCTGACTTAAAAATTTTGGCTACTCCAAAAAATTTGCCAGTAAAAAAAAAGATCATGTTTGGGGACTAAATTCAGCCCTTGGCTGGTCCCATGACATATGTAACCAGTTTATTGACCAGTTCTGAAGTAAGCGGGCTGCAAGGAGGAAATGACTGAGCTTTTCTCCCATCATTGCCTTCAACCCTGTTCCATTAAATCTCCCCTGGCCTCCCATCCTGTGACACAGGTGAGGCAGATCTGAAAGGTTTCTGTCCCCAATCAGTTCTGAGAGCAGTTTTGTTTGATTATTGCCATTGTTTGTGTCCAGGTCTAAAGTCCAGCATAGGTCGTCCCCACCTCAGCTCCTTTCTCCCCCTCTTCCTCCGCTCCTGCCTCTTCCATTGGTTTGGGACTCCACCTTCCTCCAACTCCTGAGGGCAGAGAGCAGAACTTCCCAGGGTCCCGACTGGGCAGCTCAGTGGAAGCAGAGCCAGCTCTCCACCTCACAGGCCTCTTAGTCTCTGCAAGAAGGTCTCTTCCAGCCCCACTCACTTGGCTAGATGGGGGGCAAATTCTTCTCTTCAAAGAACTCTCTGGAACATCTAGTTTCTGCTTTTGAGGCAGGCTGAAGTAATGGGGAGGGGCCTCAGCTCAGGGCCCTTCCTTCTCGGGGCAGGCCTTGGATGGGCCACCTGACCCCTTAACCCCAGTGGTCCTTGTCATGCACCTCACTGGGTGGGGTGGGGGAGGCTTTGGATGGCAGGAGTGCTGTCCCCACCAGGGCATGGCTGCATTTGTGCCTAGAAGCACCCCTCTGGTGTGGGAGACACATGCAGTAGCCAGAGGGGTGAATCTGGCTGGGCCCGGCCAGAGGACTGGAGGCCTTGTGCCTGGGCACCGGAGCCCACCTGGAGCCATTGGGACAAGCTGGGGATGGCAGATGGCAGAAAGGGAAGCTACAGCTCTGTCTACCCTGAGATTTAGGGATCCCAGGGCTCTCTAAAGGCCTCTGAACTAGAGTGGTAAGGAAGAGAACCCTCTCTTGCTACCCCCAACCTCCAGTCCCATCTTCCCAGGTGCCCTGGACACTCCGGGTCCCAGTGTGCAAATCTCGAGGCACTTCTTTACAAATAGGTACCCGTGAACCCCTCTGAGGACCCTGGCTCCAGGACAGGTCCCCAGTGGGCCTAGGTCTCAGTTCAAAGCCCTTGCCCACCATCTCACCTAGCCCGCAGCTGGGAGGGAAGCAGCAGGTAGGGGCAGGCCCCTGGGAGGAGGGGAAGGGGGGACCAGTGGCTCCCATCCTCCCACCACCTAAGCCTTCCCTGTAGAGGCAGTTCCTGGGGCTTCATGCCAGATCCCACCTGCCACCCACACACCCTGTGAGTGATTCCCTCCCCAGCCTTCCCCAGCCCAGAGGGCCCAGCAGGGGACTGGATCCTGTCTGGATGCTGTGCGGAAAGAATAGGAAATAAAAGCCAGTTGGGACTGGGTGGGTCCCCAGTTAGACACCCGAGTGGAGCAAGCCTAGCTCTGGCCTGAGCAGGGATGCTAGTGACCTGCACCAGCTTGGCAGGATGCCTCTCCCTTCTGATCTAGTGACCGTGGGACCACGACAATAGCCCTGGCCTCATCCACACATCTTCCAGAGGTGGGACCTGAGTGGTCAGCCCCTCCCCTTCCCTCATGCCACACCCCATGTGTGTTTGCTGCTCCCACTTCCTGCTGGGCCACCTGTGACCAGCCGGGCCATGATGACAATAATTTCACAGCACTGCTAATCATAAAAGGACAGTTATGATAATGGCCACGCCCACTGATTGGGACAATTCCATGTGCATCATCTCAAGAGTTCTCCACATGCCTCAGGAGAGGCTCAGAGCAATGGATGGCACACACAAGCTCACCCAGCCAGGAAGTGGTCAGGATAGATGTCAGCCCAGCCCTGAGCAACCCCCGGAGCCGTGCTCCTGTGGTGGCCCGCCTCGCCTGCATCCTGCCTTTCCCAAGTTATCTGGTCCAGTCTAGTCTAGACTGCTGGGGGAGGGCTGGGGCTCCTTCTTCCCTGCCTGGCCCCCAGCAGGCATGGGTTTCATCCTGGTCTTGTTCAATCCACAGGCATGGAAGAAGGAGCATGAACACCGTCTACGTCTTCATCCTCATCCCTATAGCCAGGCACGTGCATGCCGGGCATGTCTCGGGGCTTCTCAAACCCCTTCTCAGCTCTAGGAGGCAGCTCCATTGCTGTAGCTCTTTATAGAGGAGGAGACTGAGGCTCAGAGAGGCCCCCAGCTTGTGAGAGGAGTGTCTGAGTAGGTGTCCTTGACTCCAAAGCCTGTATTCATCACCACTCCCCAGGGGGCTGCTTGAATTTGGAGGCCTCTGCCCTGTGGGACCCCACCAGGGGCCCTGGGAGCAGCGCCTCTGGGTGGGTTCAGCAGCTCCTAGTGAGTCTGGCCCCCTCTGCTGGTGGCCACAGGGTGGGGTGAAACCAGGAGCGCTGCCTAGTCCCCACCCTCACCTTTCACAACCCAGCAGATGGTGCCATGGAGCAGGAAGGGTGAGAAAGAGGCCACAGGAAGCAGCGGCAGTGTCACTGGCCAGTGTGCAGGGGGTGGGGCGCCTGCTCAGCACAGCCTGGGACAGAGGGACGCACAGCCACAGGGCTCTGACCAGCGTAAGCCTGGCCAAGGATGGTGACACAGAGGGCCTTGGGGGTCCGGCTTCTCCTGCTAGCCTCGCTCTTGGTCTCAGGTGAGCAGCTGGTTTCTCATCCCCTTCTTCCAAGCCTGGGAAACCTGGGGCAGGGACAAGGAGAGGACAGGGAGTGGGGGTGTCTGCAGCACATCCTCCAAGGAGCCACCCTGGGGGCCTCAGCACCTTCTCTAACCTCATCTTCTGGGTTAGATATCATCCCGACAAACGTCCGCCCAGTGCTCAGTGCTTCCCACAGTGCTCTGGAGAGGGGGCAGGGGGCACTCCTCTACGTGGGACCGTGGCGCTCTGACATGCCTGCCTCCAGGACGCAGGGGGGCCCTGGATGAGCTCCCCTCCAGCTGGCCTCTGTGCTCCTGGGGAAGGGGGTCAATTCACTCTGGAGGCTGAGGCCAGACAGGGCCTACACTGCCCCCCCACCTCCTTGTCTGGCTCCCTCTACCCCTGCCCTGTCCCAGCAATGGTCCCACAGTCCTCAGGGACCCAAGCAAGCTGTGCACACTCTCAGCCTTGCACATGCATGTGCGGCAGTTCTCCAGCGGCAGCTTGAGGACCCCAGGCCTTGCCCTGGCTCTCCTCTGTTCCGGCAAAGCCAGCTGCCTCCCCACCACCTGGCCAGCTCTTATTTACACTTCTTGGCCCCTCTGTGATGCCTGCAGTGGCCCCTTGGGCAGAGGAAGGCGCTCCCTCCTTGGGGCTCCCATCTCAGGACCTTGCACACTCCTCTTGTTTTGCTCTTGATTCAGTGAGTGGCCTATGTGCCAGTCCCCTGTGTGTCTGTCCAGCATGGAATCATGTGCCTTTGGGCACATAGATCAATGTCTTTGGGCTTCAAAGAGCCCTCTTCTCTTGAAAAGCTGAGATTAAATAAAATGCAAAGTTCAGTCTCTGGCTCAAAAAACAGTGGAAAAATGGCAGTGCTATCCTCCTGGTGGCTCAGGGAGGGCTTGGTGCAGACGCTACTCCATAGATTAATTAACTCAATAACCAACCGTGGCTATCATGCATCTCAGTGGGCATGATAAAGACCCTGGGCCCTTCAGAAAAGCCGTAATTATGCTTTTTAGGTCAAACTTCAAGGCTTCCCTGAGCAATTGAGTTTATCCCCTATAGTGACATGGGTGCTCCGGTTCTGGCAAAGAGTCAGCCGTTTGAATAGTGCGGGGTTTATCCAGAGGTAAGACTCCTTCCATTGTAAACTTTTATGGGTTAGTCTCCATTCATCCATTTGCTCATTCATACGTTCAGGAAGCACAGATGATGCCCTCTGTGCAGTGCCAGGCTCTGTGCTGGTCTACTACGTGGTCCCTGCCCTCAAGGGGCTCCCCACAGTCCAGTGAAAGGACAGGAGAGCTTCAAAGGGGCCCAGTGTGTGTTGGGGACCCAGCAGAAGACAGACACACTCTTTGATAAAGGGACACCTTATAAAGGTGTGGGCAAGGGAAGGGGGCCAAGAAAGGTGTTTACACACCAGGTCTGGCACCAGGGAAAAGAGGCTGAGGCTGTGGATGTGGCAGAGAAAAGCAGTCCACTGGTAGTGAGCGATAGGGAGGGGCAAATGCCGTCCTGCTTCCTCCGGCCTCTGACTTCTGCCCAGGTTCCCATCTGCACCTACACTGAGGTGGTCCTGGGAGGCCAGCCTCTGGGGCACAGCGGAATGGAGAAGTGTAGGAAAGGTCTTGTGAGAGGTAACGGCACCATCCCGCACACAGGCCTGGTTCAGGCTCTCCCTGGGTGGGCTGAGTGCTTTCAGTGTCTTCAAAAAAGAAGCACAAGAAAGGTATTTAATCATCTCTGACCAGGCGCTTGCCAAGAGCTTCACATACATGACTGCACTGAAATTTCACAACAGGACGGGAGGGAAGCTCTGCTAACACCCACCAGGGTGCACCCTCATCCAGCACCCATTTGTGGCCGCTGGGAGGTAGAATAGACTAGGATTACGTAGGAATGGCACTTGCCCTGGAGCTGGCAATTTCTTCCTCTCCCCAGCAAGCCACTCCCCTCTCTCTCCCTCTCCTCTCTTCTTCCCTCTTCTCTCTCTCTCTCCTTTAATTAAAAAGCAAACATGGATCATATCATATAAACACTCGTCTGTCATTTGCTTTTTCCCATTAAACAACATACCATGAATATCTTTGCAATCTAACAGAAAATTAAAGTTTCTTTATAAGTTGTTTAAAACAGTGTTGCTATAGATCCAATTATTATAAAATCCAGTCTAAAATGCTCTATTTTTAATCCTACATTTACCCTTACTATGGATTGCCATTGTCTTTTTTTTATTATTAAGGTATTATTGATACACACTCATATGAAGGTTTCACATGAAAAAACGACCTGGTTACTACATTTACCCATATTATCAAGTCCCCACCCATAACCCAATGCAGTCACTGTCCATCAGTGCAGCAAGATGCCACAGATGCACTATGTGCCTTCTCTGTGCCACACTGTTTTCCCCATGATCCTCCACACCGTGTTTACTAAATATAATACCCCTCAATCCCCTTCTCCCTCCCTCCCCACCTGCCCCCCCACACCCCTCCCCTTTGGTAACCACTAGTTCCTTTTTGGAGTCTCTGAGTCTGCCGCTATTTTGTACCTTCAGTTTTGCTTCATTGTTCTACTCCACAAATGAGGGGAATCATTTGAAACTTGTGTTTCTCCACCTGGCTTATTTCACTGAGCATAATGTCCTCCAGCTCCATCCATGTTGTTGTAAATGGTAGGATTTGTTTCTTTCTGATATTAGGAGTACTCCATTGTGTATATGTACCACCTCTTCTTTATCCATTCATCTACTGATGGACACTTAGGTTACTTCCATATCTTGGCTATTGTAAAAAGTACTGCGATAAAAATAGGGGCACATATGTCTTTTTGAATCTGAGAAGTTGTATTCTTTGGGTAATTCCAAGGTGTGGCATTCCCGAGTCAAATGGTATTTCTATTTGAGTTTTTTGAGGAACCTCCATATTGCTTTCCCCAATGGTTGAACTAGCTTACATTTCCACCAGCAGTGTAGGAGGGTTCCCCTTTCTCCACATCCTTGCCAGCATTTGTTGTTCTTAGTCTTTTCTATGCTGGCCATCCCTTACTGGTGTGAGGTGATATCTCATTGTGGTTTTAATTTGCATTTCCCTGATGATTAGTGATGTGGAGCATCTTTTCATGTGTCTGTTGGCCATCTGAATTTCTTCTTTGGAGAACTGTCTCTTCATATCCTCTGCCCATTTGTTAATTGGGTTATTTGCTTTTTGGGCGTTGAGGCGTGTGAGTTCTTTATATATTTTGGATGTTAACCCCTTGTTGGATATGTCATTTACAAATATATTCTCCCATCCTGTAGGATGCCTTTTTGTTCTGTTGATGGTGTCCTTTGCCGTACAGAAACTTGTTAGTTTGATGTAGTCCCATGAGTTCATTTTTGCTTTTGTTTCCCTTGCTCAAGGAGATGCATTCAGGAAGAAGTTGCTCATGCTTATATTCAGGAGATGTTTGTCTATGTTGTCTTCTAAGAGTTTTATGGTTTCATGACTTACATTCAAGTCTTTGATCCATTTCAAGTTTACTTTTGTGTATGGGGTTAAACAATAATCCAGTTTCATTCTCTTGCATGTAGCTGTCCAGTTTTGCCAACACCAGCTGTTGAAGAGACTGTCATTTCCCATTGTATGTCTATGGCTCCTTTATCATATATTAATTGACCTTATATGCTTGGGTTTATATCAGGGCTCTCTAGTCTGTTCCATTGGCCTATGGGTCTGTTCTTGTGCCAGTACCAAATTGTCTTGATTACTGTGGCTTTGTAGTAGAGCTTGAAGTTGGGGAGCATAATCACCCCCAGCTTTATTCTTCCTTCTCAAGATCGCTTTGGCTATTCAGGGTCTTTTGTGGTTCCATATGAATTTTAGAATGATTTTCTCTAGTTTGTTGAAGTATGCTGTTGGTATTTTGATAGGAATTGCATTGAATCTGTAGATTGCTTTAGGCAGGATGGCCATTTTGACAATATTAATTCTTCCTATCCATGAGCATGGGATGTGTTTCCATTTATTGGTATCTTCTTTAATTTCACTTAAGAGTGTCTTGTAGTTTTCAGGGTATAGGTCTTTCACTTCCTTGGTTAGGTTTATTCCTAGATATTTTATTCTTTTTGATGCAACTGTGAATGGAATTGTTTTCCTGATTTCTCTCTCTGCAGTTTATTGTTAGTGTATAGGAATGGCACAGGTTTCTGCATATTAATTTTATATCATGCAACTTTGCTAAATTCAGATATTAAATCTAGTAGTTTTGGAGTAGATTCTTTAGGGTTTTTTTATGTACAATATCATGCCATCTGCAAACAGGGACAGTTTAACTTCTTCCTTGCCAATCTGGATGCCAGTTATTTCTTTGTGTTGTCTGATTGCTGTGGCTAGGATCTCCAATACTATGTTGAATAGAAGTGGGGAGAGTGGGCATCCTTGTCTTGTTCCCAATTTTAAGGGAAAAGCGTTCAGCTTCTCGCTGTTAAGTATGATGTTGGCTGTGGGTTTGTCATATATGGCCTTTATTATGTTGAGGTACTTGCCCTCTATACCCATTTTGTTGAGAGTTTTTATCATGAATGCATGTTGAATTTTGTCAAGTGCTTTTTCAGCATCTATGGAGATGATCATGTGGTTTTTGTCTTTCTTTTTGTCAATGTGGTGGATGATGTTGATGGATTTTCAAATGTACCATCCTTGCATCCCTGGAATAAATCCTGCTTGCTCATGATGGGTGATCTTTTTGATGTATTTTTGAATTTGGTTTGCTAATATTTTGTTGAGTATTTTTGCATCTATGTTCATCAGGGATATTGGTTTATAATTTTCTTTTTTTGTGGTGTCTTTGCCTGGTTTTGGTATTAGAGTGATGCTGGCCTCATAAAATGAGTTTGGAAGTATTCCCTCTTCTTCTACTCTTTGGAAAACTTTAAGGAGGATGGGTATTAGGTCTTCACTAAATGTTTGATAAAATTCAGTGGTGAAGCCATCTGGTATAGGGGT